TTGCGATGGATGTGATCTTAACATTTTGCAAATATTTTTTGCCTTTGTAATAAGTTTTCAACTTTAAAACTAAAAAATTGTTACTGAGTACCAGAATTGATAAATAAGAGAAATTATCAAAGAATTCAAAGAATATATATATTTTGGCTCTACTAATGACCGCAATATAAAGCTTTCTTACACCCATCTTGACACAACAAACTGGTTTTTTTGTATGAATACAAATGTTTCTCGGGACTTGATATATTAAACTTATTTAATAATATTGCAGAGTTTGTTCTAGTTATTATTAAATCAATTTTAAGCTAATCAATCAGTTAAGAGATGTCCTACGTACTATAAATTGTAGTGCCGATTTACAGCACTATTACGCCCATATTCAAACCGTTCCAACCTTACAAAATACTATTGTGATAATTCATTTGTCTCTAAAATGTAATGGTGAACACAATTTTGTCAAAAATTAAGAATCTACTTAAAATGTTAATTTTATTTTATTTAAATCATACTAGCAAAGCTCTAGAGTTGCTTTAGCAAATACATTTGTGTTGTAACACGAGTAAATGCAGTTTTAGGCAATATTTTTCAAATGCTCTCTAGTGATAGGATTACAGCCTCGGCAAACTCTGCCAACCAATGCCATATGGAGTTTTTTCTCAATATCCGTCTGTGGTGACGATTATTAACAGTCTGAAATGATTTTCATAATTTAAGCTCACAAAACCATGTTTGAGTCAATTATCCACATTTATACTGTTACCTATGATGACACAGATTTCTAGAAAACTCAATCTTATTCAGATTAAATCTACAATAACGATTCATGTTTGAAATACAAAAACTCAGTAATAGCCAGATACTTGTTCCTCTTCATTTTCATAGGCACTTGAGTCGGTTAGAGAAAAATTTTTCTTGAAATAAATATACGTCAGTGATATATAAGTCAGTGACAAATAAATAATTTATTTTTCTACATAATCACCTTTTAGCTCGATACATTAAGTCCAGCGTTTTTCTAATTTTTTTATTCCCTTCAAATAATAGGTTTTCTCAGGTTTGTTTCTCTAATGACTTCTTCATTCGGCTTACCGCTCATCCATTTCTTTAGGTTTGGAAACAGAAAATAGTCGCAGGGGGCTAAATCTGAAGAATATGCTGGATGGGGTAGCAGTTCGTATCCCAATTCGTGGATTTTGGCCACGAATGCTTAATCAGCACACGAAATTTACTTTTTTCCATTTTCGTAAAAATTCACGAGGTCGTCTGCTTTGAACGGCTATCAAACACCAACTGAACGACGTAGCTTGCTCAAAATTACTCAAAATGGTAGATTACAGTTGACGGCAGTAAAAAGTCACTGACTTAACAAACCGCTCTCGTATTTATATTCCATAGTATTACTTTTTTTGCTTATAGTCCATAATATTTATATTATATAATTATATAGATATACTACCTTAAATGTTTTCTCATTTAGATGCCCCGTAAAAAAATCAATCTTATGTTAAATGACATGTCACAGACGAGTAGAGAGCTGTGCTAAATGATTGAAGATTAAACAACCTTCTTAAATCTGCTTTTTAATTATTCATGTCGCAGTTGTGGACTGAACTATGAAAGTGCCTCACATCTGCTTTGTTACTGCCTAGTATATGCACGGCGCTGATTTATGATTTAAGGAACTTACTTTTTTAAGGATCTTGCCCAATTTCAGGACTTCCGTATAAAACGTATTTTAAGCTCTACCAAAGACTTAGGGTGATTTTTCCAACCTTTGAGTTTCTTATAGAATAACACAATAGAGCAATAGGCCTAAGGGGCTGCTTAGGGTTGCCAGTATAACCCAACTTAACCTTACTTAAGTACCTTAAACGTAAGTACATTATACTAATGCAAATTGCGGTTCCAAGGGTCTAGCACCATGGGAGCCAGAGCCTATTAAGCATAGACTATAGACCGACACTGTTCAAAACAACACAAAAAGACACACATATATATACATAGGTGCATATTTTCAATTTTCTATGGTAACGAATATGAAATATTATCCTTCAAAAATTTTAAATGACCACTTAACCACTTATTTAACAATTGCAATATATTTGTAAATTATTATTGATTGAAGTTGCGGTATAACCCCAACGCGCAGAAGAGTTACAACAAAGCATTCCATCTAATCGTATATAGGGGTAGCACTTATTTGCTTCCTTGCATATTTGTTGCACTGCTATTCAGTCGTGCAACTGCACGTATCGCTTTGTTAAAAGCTTGCATACCTCATTGACATGCTGCTACCTTTCCGTCAAACTGTGAATGCGACCCGCTGTCACTCTAATTTGTGTCTGTGTATATATGTGTAGCTCTGAAGTTCGCCTTTTTCTGCCTATACTTCGTTAAATTCCATTCACCCATAATAGCCTGCTGTTTGCGCGTTCTTTGCATATGCATTTACCGCCACTGTACTATGCAACCTGCGTTCGCCAACCACCAGCAATGATGTTCAGCCTTCAGTGCATTTCAGAACAAGCACACCTATACGCACATATGCTTTCCTAATTTTCATGGTTTTTTCGCATAATTCGCGCTGCCTGTAGCATTCATGCATGATTCGTAGTTGCCTTTGTATTACCATTCTTCTAATTTTTATGTGCGCTACCTCAGGCCTTACTCCTCGGTCTGTTTTGGTTTTGCTACTTCAGTTGTTTCTGGATTTTTGATTTTTTTGTTAATCAGGTTTTTGTTCAATGCTCCATACACTCGCTATGCCTGTTTCCCTGTTCCCCTGTTTCCCTGTTGTACATTTTAGGCTGAAATCGCATTGTCATGTTCTAAGCTCAGCTATGTTGCCACTTCGGACTCCACTACCAATGGACATATGCATGTTTTTTCCTTTCTACTTCTACTTCATTTTTTTGCCAGGCTGTTTTTTATTTTCTTTTTTGCTTATGTTTTATTTCTGTTGCCTTATTTCAATCAATTGCTTAAACCGCTCTATACTCCTGATATTCTTTACCCATTTCGGTTTGCTTGCTATTGAGGTTCGTCTACCTTATTTCGATTTCGTTGCATGTTGCTTTTAGGCTTTTGAACTCATTCGGGTGCTTGTGTTTATGTGGCAAATGCAGCCATAACCTAGCCTAACATCGGTGCTTAACCCGTCTGACAAACATTTTAACAACAACAACAATAACAAATATTCACATATCATTCTTATACTATATTGCATCATTCTTTCGTATTTATAGCTGCTCGTCGTTGTTGGTAGATTACTGGCAAAAACTTGCTCGTGAAGCGATACCAGAATAATTTGCATTAGTTGCTGAATTGCTTTATTGTAGCACTTTTTAATGACGCCCTTGCGTTATTAGTAGAAATTAAATTATAAAATTATTGTTTAAGCGCCATTTCATTATTATTCATTTACACTTTATTGTTGAACTGAATTGCATATTTAAATTCTATTAAAAATACAAGACTATTAAGTAATCATATGAGTTTCTGCAACCATTAAAAAATGTGAGGTGTGGTTATGTGAAGCCAACCTTATTTCATCGATTCATGCTCAGAAATCTTTTTACAGTAAATGCATCTAAAAAATTGTATTAACTCTTTAATACACGAAAATGTCGCTCCCATAAGCAATCATCTTTCATCTCTTTTAACCACAGAGTAATTGGTAGTTCCCAGTTTTCATTTTTCATACAATATATTTACTAATTGACGAAACAACCCGTTATTGGATTTTAACCTAACGCAACGTACATTTCATACAATACACATTATTTTAAATAGGCAAATTTTTTGACTGGAGTTGACTATTTGTCAACTCATGCTCTGAGCTGGCAAAATATCTAGAGTGTTATAAATTAATTTCGAGTGTTATATATTTTGACTGAGATTCACAAATCGAAAATGAAAATGCACTAAAAGTGAATCACTATACAAAAAGTTACTCCAAAAAATAAAACCGAGCTAATATGAGCCTAATAATAAAAGAATGCTAACTTGTCGTTAAAAATTTTTTTATTGTATTTCAAAATATTCTCCTTCATGATTAATACACTTTTGCATGCGTTCGAAACATTTGTCAAAGCATTTTTTCAATCTTCTTCAGAGACCTCCAAAACATGGTTTTTAAATGCCACAACGGTTTCTTCCGTCGACAAAAATTATGAGCGTTGTTCACGTAATTTATACTTGACGTTCGAGAACGAGAATAAGTCATTGGGTGCAAAATCAGAACTATACGACGAGTGACCCATCAATTCGATTTTTTTAATGTTCAAATAGTCGATACTTAGACGAGATGTATAAGCACTCGCATTGTCTTAATGGAGATGGAAAATAATCCGACGGCGCTTATTTGTTTTCATTTCTCACTGAAGACTTCCGGTAAACAAATGGTTGTAGAGCATTTGGAATTGACCATTTGTTTCGAAGTGCTTCGAATGCGAGCAATTTTTGTGTCATTTTAGTAAATTCTGATATATCAATCAGACAAATAGTGATGTTATAAATTGATAACAACATTTAAAAATTTCAAAGTTTATTTATATAAACAAACTCCTTCAATGCAGAAAACAACATCGGTGTTGTTGCAAATTTTAAATGATTTTGTTCATAATTTTAGCAAGTAAACGATTGCAAAAGCCATATACTTGTGAGCTGAATGAATATATCACGCAACTAAGGCCTAAAATAAAATTAGGAAATAGAACTAATATTTGATGAATAAATGTCACATTAGATTTAAAGAGTATTTTTAAAGGTATTTTTTTTTGTTCTAAGCAGTCGGTTTTAAATACGTCGTAAAGAAAATATATACTTAACTCATATATATTATTTTTCTGGTGAGAACGTTTACAATATTTGGTTATAGAAAAATATTGAAATCAAAATTTTTTTAAAATATTTTTGATTATTTAATTTTGTAATATTTGGTCTACAAATTTTTTTTTTTATAAAAATCAATTGATTTCTATTTTAAATATATTTGGTTAAAAAAATACAACGAAAATTTTATTCAGGAAAATAAAGTTGCAGTGTATTAGCGAAAATGTCCAAGCGCATACCCAAAGGGATAAAGGATGGAACTCCTTTAAAATTAACAAGAAGTGATTTATATCGATGCAATAAACAGAACAGACACGCTGATATGGCAAGGCTAGAAGTGCTACGTAATAATGGTGCAGTTAAGAAAAAACTGAACAACTCAACTAAAATGAAGAGACAGTGCCAAGAATTGACGAGAAATGATAAAGCCGCTGTAAAAGAAAGCAACAAAAGCAGTAAGAAATGTGTTTTCACAGAACAAATCAATCCAAAGAACAGTCAAAAAATTAATATTAGGAAACGTCTGGATGAGTTGTTCCAAAAAGAACTACATAATGTTCGTAAAAAATGTCGACAGTGTGAAAAGGAAGACTTTATAAAAAGAAACGCTGTGAAATACGACCAGTGTGATAAGATGCTGGATGGAGAAGATCGTAGTAGCATAAAGTATAGAACTTACAACCAAAACACTACACCTGTTAAACAGATGAGTGTTCTAAGCAAAAGCCTACTAACCACATTACATGACACCGATGAAGTGCTTCCACAGAAAAAAAATCTTTTTAATGGAAAGGAATATTATAGTACAGGTAAGTCGCTTGACAATAATTCTAAAACTAAAGTAAAAGCAATTTTACAAACAGAACCGAATCTCAAATTCACTATATCTAGTGAAAAAAACCTGTTCACAACTGATCGAACTTCTACTGACTCATGGCATGAGTACACATCAACATATAACAAATACAGTAAAGTAGCTGACATCAATCGAAAACTTGTTAAGATTTTCGGGTTCGAGTTACCGGTTGTTAAAATGAGTTACAAGCAGCCACTGGGTTCAGAACAAATAGGTCGTGAAAAAATATATGCATGGAATAGAAATATTAGATCAGATCACTTAAAAAAATATATGAAAGAAATTATAAAATACATTCAACGTATTGCACAAAAACCTGGAGACACTCTAACCGCAGACATTGGAAGCAACAGTGAATTCCTGGGTTGCCAAAAAAATATGATGAAGAGCGAACTGAAAGCACTAATGTCACAATATTTTAGTGTCGATTACGAATCGACTACATCTAGTTTAACAGAGCAAAGCAATGCAAATGTTCTTATGCAAAATGCTGTCAAAAAAATCGCTGTAAGCAAACAAGGGGAAGAAATGTCTGGTGAGTATTGCAAGGGAGACATGTCTGATGAGTATTGTAAGGGAGAAATGTCTGATGAGTATTGTGAGGAAGACACTTTGGAAATGCCGTGTAAAATAATTATATCTACACAAGTACTTAGAAAAAATGAAGTGTCTACTTCTTATGGAAGTAACGAAGAAGTTGACTTTCGCCATTTGACTGCTTCCACACAAAAGGGTTCAATTTTCAGGAAATATGATGCTGTGGAATATAGACGTCCCAAATATTCAAAATTATACAAATTATACAGACATAAAAAATTTAAAGAAAGAAGTGGAAATGATATATTAAGTAATAACAATTATTACAAAGATTTTGAAGACGTTGATACCTACAAAGAACATATGAACGTAGTGCCTAAAGTATATGATCCTAAATCTGTAATATGCAAACATCTGAATTCAGGAAAACGGGAAAATAATGCTAAATATATCTATTACAGAGTTAATGAACAGTTCGAGAAAACTAATACTAATGAGCGGGCGACTCGAAATATAAAAGATATGAATAAACAAAAAAGAAACTCTAATAACTCTAATATTCCAGCAAAGGTTGATAAAAGAAGACACTCACATGAATTTGCAGACAATGGGAAAAAGAAGAAAGAAACACAAATCCGAATGCCAGACAAAGATCAAGTGCTTATCCATAAAATGAACATAAAAGACAGGACCATCCTGCGTAAAGGTCAAATGCCTGCCTATAACAACATCGATAGACGGAATCAAAATCACAAGGAAGAATATCACCATGATTCTATTAAGAGATCTATTGGTAAATATACAAGAAAACACATAAAACGGGGTACAAACCAATATAACGATATGAGTTTTTCCTACAAATTGGACAAGAACCAAAAGGAAACAGCCTGTGACAAAGCCAAAATCTGTAAGAACAACAGAAGTAAGCATTCTAAAATATATGCAAGAAGAAATGGCCTATTTGATCTTGAAAAAGTGTTGTTAGAAGCTAATAAACATACTAAAGAAATCAATAAAAAAAAATGTTCATACACTTACGTACAAAAAATAGTAGCTTCTCCACATAAAAACTACAATCGATCAAATGTAGTAACAGTTGATATAGTGGATGAACAAAAAGAAAGATCGAAAACCTATGCAAAGAATAAACAAGCAGCAGTAAAAAGAGCTGAAGAACTGTCAAGTAAACTTAAATCCCACAAAACAATTGTTAAAAAACATACTGATATAAGTCCAAAACAAGAACAGTACTTCGAAAACAACAACGGTTCGCAGTCTTATATTTATCAAAAGCCCAATAAGATGACGGATTCGGTTAGAAAGCTTCGTAAGAATCAAAATAATAAAGGAATTGATGTAATGATGAAACAAACATATATAAAACTTATTAATCGGGAGCTTTGTAATAAGAAACAGCTTACTGAAGTATTCTACGAAAAGCTATGCATATTAAAGGGCTTTGAAAGTGAAGATGAAACAAGTAACTACTTAAGTAAACTGGAGAGCGGGAAAAACTTTGTTATACAAAACCAACTTTATGAATACCCAAATAACAATAGACAGGTAGGAGAACTTAAAATTGATGAAAAGTTGCCGGTTTACAATAATTGCGATTGCGACACGAGTCAATCTGATGAATTTGAGAAATATCAGGTTTTCGCATTACATGATAAACTCCTTAATAAGAAAAAATCGATTCCTGCAAAACTTGTGAGTGAAGAAAACTATAAAAAAGTCTTGCAGAACCTTTACAAAGATAACTCTGAGCTTAGATGTAAAATAAAAAAGTTAGGAAAATCCATTAATGAACGTATATTTCGCTATCCAGCCAGGGTACAGGAGTACAGTGATGAAATAGGGATTCAAACTGGTAGGTGCTTTGAAAAAGCAAGTAATTATAGTTCAACATTCGAATTGGAAAAACCGCTATGGAAAAAACATTTAGAAAAACAAAATGAAAAAAAGGAGGGTATAAAAGTGAAGCCGTTTGCTGCACTACCTCACAAAACTTAAACAAAATTATTATCCTAATAACATCACAAGCACCACCTATGTGATCACTCTTCTTGTTAGAAGTCGCTCATTTAAGTTACTTAAGGGTCTTTCCACGAATTAGAAAACTGGGAACCATATAATTAAAAATTCCTCCCCTTAAGAAACTTAGTAATTAACATTTCTCTTCCTACCAGAGAAGAGTTTAAGATAATTATGTAACCCTTGCAACTGTGAACACTGGGGAAAGGTTCTAACGGAAAACCCTTATTGCGCTTACAACCTTATATTTATATATTGTTTAAATTTTTTTTTTTTGAAATTATGTTTCAAATTTTTTTTATAATTTACGTGTTTTCTTTCAAGAAGTGTGAGACCTATATGCGTAATACAAAATATATATAAACAAATTAAATGTTACAACTTTTTTTTAGTAGTTAATTTTGTAGTATTATTGATAATAGTTGATTTCTGACTTATAAATGCCACAAAAGTATCGAAGTGTACTAGTTTCACAATTATTTAAGTTCGTATTACACGAATAGTGAGCTCAATATTAACTTACAAGATTGAAAGAGATGTTAGTTTCTGCACATATACCAACAAAATCAAATACTGCCACAAAAAATAGACAAGCCGGGTCAGATCACTTGGTTTTAGTGGTGTGTTGTTCTAAATCCATTTTTGGAAATTATGTGATTTGTCATTGTAATAGACTTCTCTTTATGTCTATATATCTATGGTTATCCTAGAATTATGACACATGTATTTAAGGTCGAAATTTGTTAATTTCTGAAGAAGTGTGACCTGACGTCATACACTACAAGTCATACACTACACTAAACTGTGCCTTTCTCAAAATGTGATGCTGGCGAAAAGATCACCATTACACATAACCACGGCAATTTTGATTGTTAATAAAGCCAGTTAATCAGAAGTAAGCCTTATTGTTGACAAATTTTTGTGGTGAAAAGTAGATCGACTTCCAATCAGTCAAGTGGCAATTTATTGAATCCCGTCTCATACGAAAATTGTGCGACTTTGATTCTTACATGTTTTGAATCATGTAAAGGGTTTAGCCTAAATCACGTTCATGAGCAAATACTCAGTTCAAGTAATGTCAAGTGAGTTAAATTGGGTATTTTTTGACACTAGCTTCAATTAATAATTTGCTTGAATTGAACGTGCTTGATAGTAGCTTGCTACCGGGATTTTTCAATAGTTTTCAGAAGAGTCGTTTATGTTGAACTTAGAAATTTTATTGAGCCCTGATATTGGAAATAAATTGACACAATATTCAAACGTTATTTGGATGTAAGTCCTTGCATGGTTGGGTTTAAGAAGCGATAAAATCTATATACTAAGTCAGTTGACCATTGCGCGTATTTTTTGTATATTAATTTCCCAAACAGTTGTATAGACAAACATAAATGAAAGAAGTAGCTAGATTGGCAACTCATATTAGCCTACTTACTTATTTACTTACTTAGGTGGCCATTACAGACATGAGTCGGCCTTGGCCGCGTCGAATAGCCTCCGCCAGTCAACCCGATTAGTTGCTTTCTGACGCCAGTTGGTAGTACCGAGCGCGCACAAATCGTTGTCACCTGGTCCTTCCACCGAAGATGCGAACGTCCTCTACCGTATTTTCCACCTGAAGGTACCGAATCAAATAACTTTCTAGCCGAAAAGGAAACTTATTTATTTATTAATTTCTATAATGCGCCACCTAACATACCATATAAAGCAAGGTAGGTGGTCATTCTTTATTTCGATAAAATCTATATATGTAGGTACAGTGACGAACATTATTATTTGTTGATATGTTTCAATATGTTTGCTGTGCCAGTAATTATGTTCGGTACTGTATATGTATATGTCCATAAAGAGTGCATCATAGACCTCTAGGTCGCAGTGTCAATTTCCCAAAACATAATAATAATCAAAGTTTAAACTATGTTTACTATAAATAATGTATATATGTATGATATCAACTGGTCAATAAATTTTACAGGTTTTGAGTGTTGCCATATTAAAAAATTACCTTGTTAAAAATATTATCTGATCTATCTACATACATACATACATAGATATGTATTTAGATATTTAGGTATGTATTCGTATTGTTTTGTAAAATAGGAAGTCAATTAAAAAATTTAATAAGAATTTTAATTTGATTTAATGTTTTTCATTTGCTTTAACCTACTTCTGTTTTCGGTCGAAGTGCAGGAACAAAAAAAAACAACAACAAAGCCAGCCGTTCATTAAATTAACAAACCAGCAAAAATTACACCATGAGAACAATAAAAATAACAACAACAACCACAGCAGCAGCAGCAATAAAAATTGCATGCTAATTAAGAGAACAAGCAGTGGGAGTAGTGTAATGTAATAATAACAATAACAATAACAATGACAAGCATAACTATAGCAACAAAGCTGACGATTAACTAACTGTTTATTGTTATTAAAATAAATAGAGACGGAACAAAAACAACAACAACGATAAAGACAATTTGCAATTATAAATAAAAATAAAAAATAAAAAAAATGAAAAAACAAGGAACGGGGGAAAACAAAACTTGTGCTTCCTGTGCTCACTTCCAGAAAATCCACTGCTGCGTGGTATTTCAGATTTAATATATAATTATTTTTTTTATTCACTGCGCTGTCGATTGTTGTACATACATGCATACATTTTAGAAGAAAAAAATAAATTACATAATAAATAAAACAAAATAAAAAAAAAAACTAAAAATTAGTTAGATTTAGCCGTCATAAAATGCAAAAATTTTGAAGTTTTAACTTGAGGAAGACGTGGGTGCGGAATGCAGTATGATTACTGTGAGCATTACTACTCTTAGTGTATGAATAATAAATGCAATGCTTAAGAAGTTTTGATATTATATGATATGATATTTATTATAACATTTTATATTTATTATAACAATTTATAATGAATAATAATAAATAATAATCAACAAAATATATAACTAATTTATTAGAAATTATTACTTGCTTTGAAGAGCATTTAGTATTGTTTTACATTTATTTATTGTTTTTATTATGTTATAATGAAAACATAATGATTTGTAATATTTCAAATATATAAACTTATAATAAATAAATTAAAAAAATAATTTATCTTTTTAACAAAAATGATAACATGCTCTGAAGAGCATTTATATACTATTTTTCTTTTAATCCAAACGTACCGATGTGTGGCATTCATTATTCAATAGTTTAAGTACACACATTTTAAGGGAATTCCTTCACATACTCACACAACTGCAAAACACAGATCAAGACAGCACACAATTCACAGTATAGGCAGCAAAATACTCTCTTATAGCTTTTCATTGATTGCGTTGAGTTATTTGTGTATGGGATGTGTCTGCTTGGGTACTTTTCACATTCAAAATTACACAACTTTGAATAAATTTTGTGCTTTCTATTTGTTTGTGTTTGTATAATTCTCAGCTTTTGCATGCACAATCAATGTGAGATGCTGCACAATTTCATGGTTTTCGTTCGCTGGCTCTGCTGTGCTGTTAAGTTGTGAGCCGATTGCCCTTCGTGTTTGCTTGCGCTACTGCACTGATACATATACAATATACATATGTGTGTATGAATGCGAAAAGAAAAATAACAAACACAACATACAAAAGTTTTTAGTAATGCATTATAGTATATTTTCGCTACTGTATTGTTATTGTTATTGCAAATCTTCTGAAATGTTGGTGATTTTGTTTTGCTCTGCTTCCGCTCTCTGCAGCTCATATGTTTTGCAGCGACGCTTTACTGCCACTGCTTCTGCTTCTGCAACTACTGTTGTTGCTGCTGCTGTTGCTAAAGCTGTACGCTCATGTCATTGACCTTTGATAAATTGCATCTCGTTTTTTCGTCTCTGTTTTGTATAAACGTTTTGACAATTGGTGTGTGCATATTTTTAAAAGAAAGCTTAGATGTATGTATAAATGTTTGTTTGTAAAAAAGTATGTGTTGTTTTGAGCCTGTGTGTGTGTGTGTTAATATTTTTCGCGCTTTATCATACTCGTTCTGTACTTTAATAAACACAGTTTGTTCACTCGCTGACGAACGTAGCTGAAATTTTTTGCGCTCTCTTTGTTGTTTGGGTTGTTGTTGTTGTTGTTGATGCTAATGCTGATGCTGATGCACGTGCATATTCACATATTTATTTTTAGTATTTTGCAGTTAAAGAAAACGAGTAAGAACTGACAACGACAACGGCATCGGCAACGATATTGACAACAATAACGAATAACGATAGCTCCAACAATGAAGTACAAAAGATGAGACTTGGTTCACATCCTCTGCGACTTTTTCTAGTTGTTGTTGTTGTTGCTGCTGCTGCTGTTGTTATTGTTGTTGTTATTGTTTTCTTTTGAATATTTTATTTTGTGTTTTTGTTTTGCACTTAGCGAGTTGCAAGTTGACGATAGTTTGTTGTTATTATTGTACGTTTCCTTTGGTTCTTCAGCTTGGAATGCCTACTTAAAGATATGTTCATGTTGTTCTTGCTGTTTTTTTTTCTTCAACTGACAATGTCTTCCTTTTCAGGTTCAGTTGCATTGAAATAATGCAATAATTTTTCTCTTTCTTTTTATTTTTGTTTTTTTTTTGTGATTTATATTTTATTAAATTGCCTTTGTTAATCGCTTTGGTGCTGAGTTATTTATGTGCCATGATTTTAATTTATGATGTCCGAATATGAAGAGAAGAAATATACATTCTGCACCCTACAATGGGCAACAAAGTATTCGTTACTTTACTCTATACATTGACTAAAAAAATTAAAAGTTGCCTATAAAAACAAATTATATAATTCATGATTTGTGACTGTCTGATATTCTCACAAAGATGTAGATATACTCTAAATGAAGATAAAAATTAAACAATAACATAAACCCACTAACTATGTATCTATTAGAAGAAGTAGAAGATGCTCGAAGGCTTAAGAGATAAAATCTCCCGTTTCAATTGAATATAAAATACAATGAATTATAATCGTCAATTAATTAGAAAAATTAAAAAAAAAAACAAAAAATGTTTTGAGCGGATTTAATGGATCATGTTTTTATTTTATTTTAATATACAAAAATGTAAATAAACAGATTATAAATAAACTCCAATAAAAAAAAATTCATTCCTTTTTAAACAGTCTTAAAGCTTTTTCACACGGCATGAGTTCTTAATTTAATCTTTATAATTGTTAATCTGGATTGAGTTGTTCTTCTTGGGTTTGGCGTTTTAAGACCGGTTTTGCAGTTGTGGCTTCGCGAATCTTCACCAATACCGCTTTGTTTATAAGAAATTATGTTTAGTTTTGCGAATTTTTCTCTTAACTAACTGATAATTAATAGTACATGA